TCAGGCTCTGACTTTGAACTAGACCCTTGCCCACAGCAGTAAATTTTTTTCTCCCATCTAAAAGCAAAAGTGAGGACTTCTCATTCTGGACAAGGTGGAGTAGGCTTCATTCTCCCTGCTCCTCCTGGCTAAGTCTAATTAAGAACCATGGACATAATACAACAAGCAATCATAAGAGGACTATGAAATGTTGAGCAAGGCAAGTCGACTAGCTGGGGACTTCGGGACTTTAGGAATTACACGGGGTGAGTTCTCTGGGTTGTTTTTCTTTCTCCCATATGTCCTGGACTTGAAACTGGAGAAGCCTGCAAACTGAAACCACCAACAGACACAGAAAAAAAAAAATTAAAGTCTCAAGAAAAGCCTGCTCTCTGTAGTCAAAGGACCCAGAAAGGAGCAGCATAGCCGCAGAAAAACCTTTTTGACAATACTCTACCCCAAGCGAACATAATGAATGGTCCCTACCTGTACAGTAGAGACCAAGTGGGGAGTCTGGATTTCTGCTGCTTGCTTGGTGGCAACAAGTGAGCCAGCGTAACGCTTCCCTCCTCTCCCTTCCCAGCATTGCATTGGTAGAGTCCAAGTGGGGAGCCTGGACTTTGACCCCTATCTCCTGATTTAGTGGCAGCTAGAGGTCCTGGGTGACATTTCTCTCCCTACCAGCATGCTGTCAGTGGACACTGAGTGGGATTTCCCAACAGTGGGAGGCAGCACCCCTCACCTTCCCAACTGAAGAATGGGAGGAGAATCTTAGAGAGCAGGGAGCTAGAGAAAGGAATTCTTTACACCTGCACAGGAATGCGCTGACCGACTCACACGTGAAACTGACCTACACTAACTCACCAAAAAGTTTGAGAACTGAACTAAAGTGTGGAAACCACCCAGGTTTGCAGAGTGGCCTCTGGGTAGCACACAAAAAAGCAGAAGAGAGGAGCACCATAAGAGTTCTGAAAACTAAACTGTCATTGGAACCACAAAACTACTACAAAAGTAGGCCAGGATCTGAGCACTAAATCAAAACAGGGTGACTGCCTGCTAAAAGGGAAGATTTAAACAGAATCCAAAGTCTACTACTAACATAATACCCCAAATAACCAGGTTACAACAAAATCACTTGTCATACCAAGAACCAGGAAAATCAGAACTTGAATAAGAAAAGACAATCAAGAGACACCAATAACAAGATGAGTTAGATGTTGGGATTATCTGACAAAGATTTTAAAGTTGCCATCAGAAAAATGCTTCAATGAATACTTATGAACTCTTGAAACAATGAAAAAATAGAAAATTTCAACAAAGAAATAAAAGATACAAAAAAGAATGAAATGGGAATTATAGAGCTGAAAAATTCAATAACCAAAATAAAAAACCCACTTGATGGGCTCAATAACAGTTTGGTAATGACAGACGGTGGAGTCAGTGAACTTGAGGGTGGATCACTAGAATTTATCCAATCTGAACAGACAGAAAACGGACTGAAATCAGGGACCCATGTAACAACAACAACAAAAGATCCAACATTTCTGTCATCGAGGTCTCAGAAGAAAGGAAAGATTGTGGGGTTAAAAAAAAAAATTCCAAGAAATAATAGCCAAAAATTTCCCAAATTTGGTGAAAGGCCAAGAAATTGAACACACTGCAAACAAGATAAACCCAAAGAAGTCAAAGCCAAGACATATTATTATCAAACTTCTGAAAACTAAAGACAAAGAAGACAATCTTGAAAGGAGAGACTTCGGAAGGGGAAGGGAGGAGAAGAGAGAGAGAAAGAGACAGAGACAGAGACAGACGATGTGTGTCCAATAGGGTACACCAATTTGAGTAATAGATGTCTCATCTGAAACCACTTGAAACTCTCATCAAGGCCACTGTTGGCCTCATAACGAACATTACATGATCTTACGTGGACTCGGTAGCATTTTCTCTCTGTTGACCCCTCCTGCTTTCTGAAACGCTCTCTTCCCTTGCCGTCAGCGACATCACAGCACTCTGGCTTTCCCATTGCTCAGCCCCTATCAGCGCTCACTCCCAGGCTCCCCTTTTTCTACCCCTCTGTTTAGCTATTCCCCAGGTACTGATTGATCATGGCTCATTTCTCAGCCTTCTCGTGTGACATGCTCTCTCCCTAAGTGGCCTACCCTCTGTTTCCCTAGATTTTATTTATTTTTAAGTCAGGTTTATTGAGGTGATATTTACATCTAGTAAAGTCCACCTATTTCAGTGTTCAGTTGTATGAATTTTGACAAATAATAGTCCTGTTACTGCCACCACAATCAAGATAAAGAATATTTCCATCATGCCAAAAAAGTTCCTCCACACCCCTTTGTTGTCAATTCCCTCCCCCACCTCCAGTCCTTGGCAACCAATGATCTCTTTTCTGTCCTGATAATTTTGCCTTTGCCAGAAGGTAAATTTCATGTATTTTCAAACATCTACCCATAAAGACGATGCCTTCCTCATTTACATCTCTAGTGCTAACCTGTTTTTTGAGCTTCAGACTCATCTATCCAATGTCTTTTGTTTGGGTGAGCTTTAGAATCCTCTTTTTCCTTCATGCATCAGCAAGGATGAGAGATTCAAAAGGTACCTAACCTTTCTGAGCCTTAGTTTCCCTCCACGAAAGAGGGGAATGATACTTACTTTGATTTCTTGAAGAAGTTAGATAGATGCCACTAAGGGGCCAACCCAGCTGGGTATACACAATAGATGCTCAATACATCATTAATATTAGCTGCTGTTGACGAAATTTCTTCAAGGGGACCTGCACTGTCTGACCACAGAGCATGGGGTTTCTGAGTTGTTAACCTACTTGCTGGGAGAGTTCAGGACTCCTCAGACGCCAGGAATCATTCTCCCCACCAGTCAGTACTATATGTCTCCACCACGTGCTGGGCAAGAGAATGCGTAACACGTCAATGACTGAGTATCTGAAATCTGAGAAAAAGTTTGTAGTACAAGTGAGTCTTCCAACTAGTTCATGTAATGACAATGCCTGAGGATCTCCAGTTAGCTTCAAGTTTATGGGGCCGATTAATATCTGAAATGAAGATTGTTTCATTTCAGATCCCTTTTACTTAAAGGCAAAAATAAAGCACAATGTTATCTTGTAGCATGTACTCCTCCAATATGGTAAGACCTCCAGGTCATTTACAGAAACTTTCTCATTTCAGCCTTGTTTCACATTGGATGGGTACAGGGAGAAGTGGCAAACCCATTTACTGCTACAAATTTTTGTATTCTGAATCTTGTTTTCATATACTATTACTCAGGAGCAATTTATAATATATTCTGAGAAGCCATGCGATATTTTAGTGGATGCTTCTTCTCAATTTCTCTCTAGATGAACTAAACAAAACTACTTTAATACAAGTAAACTGACAAGGCTCACATTGTCCTCATTTCAAACACACATAAAGGAACTAGTGTTTGAAATATGCTAGGCAGTTTTTACTAATCCTCTTACCTCCAGAGAAAGGGCTTGTAATTAAAATTACATTAGAATTGTCACAGCTAGCAATTTTTTTTTAATGCTAGAAGGACTTCAGTGATTTCATGCTACATGTACACACTAAAAATGCAGTTAGCGTAATGCAAAGAAATTAAAATTACAATTGAGGTGTCACACAGTAAGTGAAAAAGCTTTAGGTCTGTCTGGTCACAGAGCTAATAATGACTTTATGCAGAATGCAGAGAAACAAAGGTGCCTTTCTCAAGAGCCAGAGTGTGTTTGTGGCTGGCACTATTTTGCTAAGGCCATATGCAGCTGTTCTTGGTTATAGGAACTTCAGTTAAGTAAGACCATAAAAAACAGCTGTATTTGAGATCACATAGAGGACTGGCACATTTTCTCCCTGTGGCAGCCATCAGAAATCTTGCTGACAGGCTAACTTGTACAAAACGAATGATCCTATTTAGATTAATTCCTCTTAATGCCTTACACAGGCCTACCTTCCTGGCATACTGTGGAGAGAGCAGGTCAGTCCCATTCAAAACCTGGAGATAGAAGATGCAAGCTTGATTACTTGATAAAATATATGACTGTACTGGTAGAAAATGTGGAGTGCTCAGTCCCTGTAAAAATAAGGCTGGTGAGCTCTTCCCCAGCTGAGTTCAGCCGTGAGGCACTCTGGAAAATGAGCACTCCGCCAGTGAGTGGTCAGAGAACTGAGTTTTAACTGTGGCTCTGTCATTACTGTTTCTGTTCTTCACTCTCTACCCAGTAACATGATACAGCCACGCATTTTGCCATGAAACTTTGAAATGCCCTCCAATCCTTGGTTCTGGGCTTTGGCCCGTGGGACGTTAATCAACACCTCGGACAGGACTGAAATGTGCTTACTCAGCTGGGCTCTCTTGCTCTCTGCCTCTGCACTGACACGAGAAGAACATACCTGGGGCTACTGGCCCACTGGGTTCAGGAGGCTGATGGGAGACACATGGAGCAGATATGCGAGCTGGTTCAAGCTGAGGTCAGCACGGCTGCCCAGCCAAGCCCAGCCTAGATGAGCCAATCCGCAGGCTCAAATGCAAAAGTGCTTCTCCCAGCGGCCCACTGAGCTTTTGCTGTTGTTTGCCATGCAGCATTGCTGTGGCCATAGTTGACTGGAGCATCACTAAGGACTGTGCGGCCTTGGGCAATCCCTTTCCTGGCCTGTCCTCCACTCTTCACGGATCCACACAGCCCCTTCTAATGGTAACCGGGCACCAAGACACCTGGGATGAAAAGAGCTCCAGACTCCAGGTGCTCAGATTTTTTCCAGGCCTCAAGAAGGAGCTGAGGAAAACACTTCAGCTGGCCCTGTGGACTAGCAGAGGAGTCTTAATCCCCAAGGACAGTGCCATAAATGTCTGGCGAGTGTCCTCAGTTATGAAAAATGTCAGTGACAGAAGAAGGGTCTGACAAACCTGGGCCCCAGTATGTCTTTGTGGCCAGCTCCCAAACCACACTTGTTTCTCCATAGGTTTAAACTTAGACAAAATAAGCAAATCAGAAGACAGAATTGGAGAAAATGGAAATCTTTATTTTTAAACACTAGTACATTTCCAGGCTGTTTTAAAAAGGAAAAATCATATTAGTTCAAAATTATGCATCAAAGCATATTTATTTAAACTCTAATTTTATAAACACATAATGAAAGAAACATATTTATAAATATCTACTTAGAATACGTATTATGAAAAAAAAGTGTTTAAAAATAACAGTCCCAGATCTCCCTCTTTAAATATATAAAATTCCCATACAATTCATAAGAATTCTTTCTCAAGAGCCAAAAATTTCACAAAGGCCAACAACTCAGTTCTCATCAGACAAAATCAAAAGTAATAGGGATATAAAAAAATGTAAAAGTTCTGTACAAGGGAAATACAGGTAGCACACGGGTAAGTCTCGTTACCATACATGCCATTTGTATTTTAAAAATGTCTTATAAAACTGCCATTTAAGACAAATAAGTGAGAGTCCTTCCCTGACTGTGAACAATGTATAAATTATCACCCTCCCACCCAGGTGTCGAGCCCCCACCTGCTGGGATGGGGAGGGCGTCTCCACGTGTTTCCCGACCGGGGTCTCAGCCGCCCGCGGGGACCCACCTCCTCTCTGGCAGTGGCTTTTTTAATGGGTGGTTCAGTATTATTTCCTTGCACTTAGAAAAATTCTTTGGGATCACAGCAGACAACTGCTCACAAGTGAAAGCAAGAACAGGAGATGACTTCAGATTGCTGTCTCCAATTCACAATACGTGTATTTTGTGTTTTGGTGACCAAACTCTGGGAAGCCAAATCTTCCACTGTCAGAGACACACCCTGTCACCTACCCCAGCGAAACACATGGCACAGCCCCCAGGCTGTCCCTTCATCTTTCCTCTTCAGGCCCAAGCTGCTCCGTTGCCTGCAGCAGCATAGGTAGACTATTGTCTCTTCTGACACTTCTTCTGGAAAGAGCTCTTCAAAAAAGTGCGGTACACGGGGTCATCCACATATTCGTTCTTAAACCTGGAGCTCAGCACTCTTTGTCTCTTTTTCTCCCCTTGGATTATGTCTGCTCCATAAAAGGTGTCTTCAAATCGCATATCAGAGGCTGTGGACTAAAAACAGCTAGGGTTACACTGCAGAAGGGCATGTATCTGACCGTGACAAGAACAAAGACCTGATTCAGCCAACTGAATGTGCGGGGAGGGTGCCGCGGCCAGGGTGGAAGGGCCCCACCCAGGGGGCTTTGAAGCCTCCCCACCTCCTCCAGTCGCCTGCCTCCATTTAGCCCCACTCTTTTCAGGATCTCCAACCCCCAAGGACATTCACCAATGCAAGCCTTCTCATTCAAATCTCCCTCACTCTCCATCTCCCCTCTAGGTCCTGCCCAACCAGGTATTTGACAAATTTGTCAAGAGTCATCTCCAATTCACCCCATTCCTATTTACCTCTGGGCCTCTGCCCTCACCACTTCCCTCAAACTGTCCTCGTTCAAGTCCTAGATCCTATGACACTTTCCTATCCTAAATTTATTTGGCTATTCTGTCACCTGACTATTGCTGGAAGATTTCTTCTCTGTCACTTGGTAAGCCCTTCCTCCTGCCTCTCCTCCTCTGGCTGCCCATTGCTGATATCTCAGGGGTTCCCCTTTCTTAACTATCTGTTCAACTCTGATGCTCCTGGGGTTTTGCACTTGGCCTTCTCCTCTCCACATATGCTCCCTGGGCCTTCAAGCCCACACTCATGGCTTCAATTCCTGCATCTCCTCCAAGGATGCTCACTTCTCTCGCTCCAATTCAGACCTCCTCCTGTGCTCAGGCCTGTGTGTCCAGCTGCCCAGCAGGCATCTCATAGTGTTTATCCTACAGGCACTTCGAATCAATCTGTCCCAAATTGAACTCAAAGTCTTCCTTCTCCATCGCTGACCCTCTTACACTCCAAAAATGGTAGCACCATCCCCACCCAGCCAGCTACACTGATCAGAAACCTAAAAGTCACTGTAACCTTCCCCTTGTCCCCACTCTGTTCAGGGCCCCTCCTCGAAGCCCTCCATCCTTTCTTCTTTATCCCTCCTGACCCCATGGTGCAGGCCCTCGTACTTCCTCTCCTAAACCACTGCAACAAATACTGTACCCTCACGCTATTGTCTACAGAACCACTAGAAGAAAGCTCTCTAAAAACTTTCTGATTATGTGATGCCCCTGCTTATAATTTTCCAATAGCCTTACTGCCTTCCAGATGCCATCCAAGATCCCGAGGCTGGCCCTACAAAACCTAGCATCATCCCCTACCATGCTCTGGTCAGACAGAATTATCTGCAGTTCCTGGCTCACACCTCTTTCGTCTGTGGATACACTGTTTCCTTCCCGTGGGAAACAGCCTACCTTCTCTGCCACAGGCAAACCTGGGGGCCCTTCTTTTGGGATTCTATAATACTCTCACGTGTCATCGCAGTAGAATGAGGGCAGGGCAGCTAAGTTTCTCCCCATCAGGGACTCCTTGAACCCCTTGAGGGTGAGGACATTAGGGACTGTATACAAAATTTTATATGTGTTCTCAATGCCAAGCAACATGCCCAGCACTGAGTCACTGTTCAGTGTTAGCGTGTGAAGAAAAGTGGGCCCTTTCTGACAGGCTCAGGGAAAGTCTACATTAAAGCACTATTTCTGCTTCCTAATTCCTTACTATTTCGCCTCCTAAAATGCATTCTCAACTGGTTTTCACTGAGGTGGATCACTTTAAATGACACCAACACACAGTGCATCTCACTATGTCACGGAGGCCACCTCCCCTGCTTGGGGATAAAGGCAGAGTCCAGCTTTTAGGGCTTGAAAACACATGGTCAATTGTGTTCACAGTAGTTACAAAGAAGCTTGAAAACTAAAAAGTGGAGCCAAGTGCACAGTTGGGCATGTTCGCTCCCTTCATGAGACGGCTTTCCAAGCTAACAGGCTCCCTTCATGGATTCCCCCAGATACTCCGTCGTTCCACTCGGGAAGAAAACTAAGAGATTGTGGGTTGGTTGGGCACCCTCTGCCATTAGGGGAAAACGTTTTTGTTTCACTCATTCTTGGCAAAGTACTTCCTCTGAGTAATCTTTCCCTTTTATAAGTGCTAAAGTTATCAAAGGAGAAAATAAAACATCTATGAATGTGTCGCCACTGTGCGAGAACAGCAAAAGTCAGCCTCTCAAATACAATAATAAAACCGATTTACCAGTAGCTCTAGTTAATTATGCACTGTTGCTATGGTTATTCTGTGAGACAATAAAAGGTAATGGGGCCGTTTCTGAAGTTAGCGGGAAAGAACCCAGCACAATCACCGGGGTGGACTGCTGACTCTTTTGAAAAATTTCTTCCCAAGTCAGCGGGTGCCTGGGTGAGCAGAATTCATTAAAACACGCAGGCCTCCCAGCGAGGGCTGCTAACTCACCCCTCCTTGAAAAAACCAAAGAGATTTCTCTAATCATAAAATATCTTCCATCAATGAGTTTTCCAATTAGATTTGTTTCACCAACTGGAAAAGAAATAGCAGTCACAGACAGACTAGCCAAGGGCCAGAGGGTTATATACCAACCTGAAGGAAAGGCTGGTCTGCTACAGCAGGAGCACATAAGTCTTTGGTTCAATAAAAACAGAGGTGGCAAACTGGATTTAGTGACCGCGAGCTTTTGTTCCTGGAGATATTTTCTACTAGGCTCAACTGCTGGACATAACAAGTTACATTCAGAGCATATCCGCCGCGATTTATATATTTTTCACTGCCTTTTTTTAATTAAACAATCTTCTCTGAGAATTAAAAAAATAAAGGCGAATGTTGGAGTGACTGTTCAGAGAAATGGACATTAGAAAATTCAGGAGCTGTGTTCAAATAAAGGTACACAGGAAGGTATCCTGTTATTGGACCCAAAACTATTGTGGAACAAAGAGATTGTGATCAGAGCAGAAAGCAAAAAGCTTTCTTTTAATGAGATTAAGAAACAGTACTTGAAATCTGCAAGACCCAGCTGGTAAAATGCTTAATCGTACATGGATTAGATAAGCGAAGACCTGAGGGACCTGCAGAGGGCTACCTACTCCATCCTCGTCCTCTAAACCTCTAGGTGATTAAACAAAGGCAAGAAAGAAAAGGGAGAGGAGGGAAGAGGGAGAATCCATGGAAGGTAGCAGCACAGAACAAAAGGCAGCCGTCTCTAGCAGCTTGAAAGGGAAAGTTGTTCTCAAGAAGTTAAGACCTAGAACACTGACAAATTATCCAGGTTTTTTAGGTCTTTATTAAGGTTTAGCTGATGTCTATACAACAGGAACATCTGATTTTCTCTTTCCCTGCAGTTTATGATGGTAGTTAATCTATGGTCAGTGTGGGTCCCCTATGTGCACGTTTCCTCACTCTGTGGGTAGCAGTACTGTTACCATCACTCTTCTCTTGACTATTTCACTTTGAAGGACCTTCCTCTAAAGGATGCAGCAGAGAAGGAAGAGTCAGTTCACACCTAATGCAGGGACCCTGTCCTCAGGATCCCACATGAGAGCAAAGGAGCTAAACATACAACTGAACATTTAAGGAAAGCCGTTGTTTTTCAAATTAATCTATGGTAACTCTATCACTGCAGAAAAGCATACCATAGGCATGCACTGAGAACTAAGGGTGTCATTTATTCAGAAAAAAAGTGTCATTTTAGTCAGAGAAACCCCATTCATTCAAATTTCCCTGTTCAGGATTTATCATTTCACAGAGGCAGTAGATGCAATTCTAAATGAGTAAAACTGACTTCATTTCAGGGGCCACTAAATATTTTATGATACAATAATGAAAACTAAGTTATTGTGAATTATATTTTTTAACAACTTCAGTTTTGATTATTTGTCCATGTTTATTTGTCTTTTAATGGTATGTACAGGGCTTCAAACTAATAACATTTTCTTTTTTTAAAAAAAAATGGTTTAGTATTCCCACAACTAGTAGTTGGGCTTTGTTTTCCCTTGTGCTATAAAAGTGACAGCTTAGTTTAATTATGAACTGACACAAACATTAGTGAGCTTCTGAGAGAGAAGTTAATGAGTGTGTGACAAGGCTACCGGAAACGGGATGCTCACTATGCCGAGCCCCCTTTAATCTCCTACTCAATACTTGCTTTACTACTAAGAAGACTGTAAATGCCTTGATGGCATCTTTGTATGTTCCCAGTGACCTGCATAGAGCACATATTCAACAACTACTTTTGTATGCCAATAAATGTTAACACAAAACATCATTTGACCTCATTAGAAAGAAAAATAAGGAATCTGGACCAGATTCCCTGTTTTGGGCCAATTTTTTTTTTTAAAGATTTTATTTTTCCTTTTTCTCCCCAAAGTCCCCCAGTACATAGTTGTGTATTTTTAGTTGTGGGTCCTTCTAGTTGTGGCATGTGGGATGCTGCCTCAGCATGGCTCGATGAGTGATGCCATGTCTGCACCCAGGACTTGAGCCAGCGAAACCCTGGGCCACTGAAGCAGAGCGCATGAACTTAACCACTTGGCCACGGGGCCGGCCCCTGGCCAAATTTGAGGTTTGCATTCAATAGGTCTTGATAAGAAAAGACTTGCATTGGCTTTCTTCAAAATCAATCCCAAGGCCTACATACGTTTCCTGCCAGGCTTCGGAAGCAGAGGGAGAGAAAGAGGGATTCACACGGCAGATCCAAGCGGCATCTGCCAGCACTTACAAAACGAGCTTTCACTCTCTTGGGTAACTCTTCATCTAAAGTGTAGATGTCCTCTCTCTTCATTGCTATCTGGGATCCATCTTCAAATTCAACCTAATGAAAAATAAGATGTTATGACATATATTAAAGAACAAACAAGCATTCACCATTTTTTTCAGGGTTCCAATTAACTACATAAAAAGGAAAAAAAAGACTCATGCAGAACAAACGAAAGAACCAGCCAAAAACCAAGGAGGGAAGAAAAGCTCTTTCCCTTACCAAACTAAGAACAAAACATGTTTTCAAACCGGCCAAAATTCTTGAAAATGTCTTGGAACATGTGATATGAGAACTTTATCTCCCCAAAGCAAAAACAAAGAAAAGTAGCTGCTGCTCAGATGATTTCTCAGAACATGAGCTGTGGCCAGTTGAGCATTAAGATGGGCTGGGCCTGTCAGTACCATTTGTTTCAACCTAAGGGGGAGGGCTGTTTATTTTTAAGAAAGAAATAATGATATATTTATTCTTGTATAACAATCCTCCCAGATAAAATAATTTCTTAAGTTCTTACAGAGCTTCACTTTTAAAACACGCCTTTGTCAAATTCAACCCAACGGCCAGAAAAATTCCAGGTTCTCAACCTCATACCATGTAACCCACATCAGTGTGTGAAAATTATCACCTAAAATGAAAATGTTTAAAACATTTTTTTCAGGCTAATCAGATGGCAGCAAATAATTTCAAAACCAGTTTTTTCAACATTTTAGGAGATTTTGGCAGAGAAAAGGTAAGTGACACTGGCTAACAGACACCTAGAGCATCAGGGAAAATTCATCAAACGCCCTCTTCAAAGTGATTCAGAGTGATTGTTCTTGGTTTAGGTTTAATCCCACGTGAACTCTTCTAGGAGAAAACAACAAAAGGGATGCAGTCAGGGTAGAATACCTAATATGTTCTAACTCTGAACTACCTTGATATTTTTGAAGTCCCTCACTTGACTGTTTGTCTGAATTCTTTACTTATAAGAAATAAAAATGCTTGAACCTCTACTTAAAAGGTAAGTTAAACCATGCAGCTGTACTATGTTAATGAAAAAAATGAGCCGAAGTTTAAAAAAACATAAAACTAAAGATAAAATATATAGTAAAACTTCTTATCATCCATGCACTGCTCATCTGTGACTAAGCTGAAACAAGAGGGCAGAATGAGGTCTCCTTATTCCTTCCCAGAGGCTGAGATGGGAAGGCTTTTCTTCCTGGCCTTGTTTTAGCAGAATGGTTTCTTTAATATTTAATTAGGCCAAGGTGTCATCTCATTTATATAATTTGATACATAGCTAGAACTACCCTTGCCTACCTTTCTTCTGTTTTAGATCATTTGAAAATTCTAAGAGACAAAGGCAATTATAAAACTAAAAGGGAGTATGGCAGGGTGACCAGCTTGCCTGGTGTGCCTGGACTGAAGGGTCTGCCAGGACACGGGACCTTCAGTGCTAACATCAAGGACAGTCCCTCGCAAGCTGGGCTGGTGGTTCACCGGAGTTGGGGCAGGGCTGAGAGTAAATTCTGGCCCTTCCCTTCACCAGTTGGGTGCTCTTGAACAAATTATTAAATTCTCTGAGCCTTTTTGCCCTCATTTGTAAAATAGGAGTCAAAAGCAACTATCTCGCAGGGCTACTGCGAGGGTCAAAAATGCACACACTTAGGATATTGAGCACCGTGCAGCAGGGGTTCTAGTTCTATCTATTTTTATAAACGTCTTTGCTTATCCAATGGTGAGGTTGAATAATTAGACACAAAACACAAAATGATCTCAAAAGGCCACTGGTTTAATGAGGAATTTTAAACTACTTGTACTTGAAAGATAATTTGAATATTAGTCTTAACTTTTTCATTGAGTCTATAAATATGCTCATGATAGGCCATGATAATTCAACTGAAGTTAACACACTGATTACTAATTAGCCTGAATTTCAACACGTCCTCATTATGATACTTTTCATGCAGCTAACAGCTTCGCTATGTACAACGCTTCATTTTTGCATTTATTGTTTAATTAAATGTAATTATTTTCTTTTGAATGATGTAGTAATGTTTCTTTTTGAATCCAATATTATCAGCTTGTCTTGTGATTTTTGCCTAATTTCAGATATTCTCATTCAAAGAAGCTCCAGCACCTACCCTGTTACAAATGACCTAAATCTGCAACATAATACTGTCACCGATACAAAGGGGAAAATGGTCTTCATACACATACTCGCACACACATATATATAAACGTCCTCCCCTCCCTACTCCCCTTGGAGTTTTTCTAGAATTTAAAAAATGTTCTCCCTTAAGTTTTCCAAACTTCTTTGAACACTTTTAATTACATCGTGCTCCAGTTCCTGATGCAGTGTCTTATAATGTGCTCTTCCACTTAAGCACTTGTCCCTTATCAGTCTTGAACAATTTCTCTGCTGAAACTAGCAGTCTTATCATCCTCAAGCCGTTTTTAACTTAACAGGCCTGAACCTTCCTGCTTTTTCTCCTTTCACTTCAATCTTCCTGATTTTACTCTACTGCTTTGCTTGAGAATGTTGCTTTCTGCCATCATGTTACTGAAAGTACCACAATGTATTGGGGTTCTAACAAATTTGTTCCTTTTTAAAGTCTTTCTGAAGGAATATAAATGCACATGTGCCATCCATGTTGCTTTCCTTGTTAGAGCTTAAGTCACTTCTGATAAGGATAAAATAATTTCACTGTTTAATTATATATGCACTCTTTAATAATATGTAGAGTTCCCTAGAGAACAGAATCTTCAACCAATAGCTGTACTTTTCATTAAATAAGCACTCCTTTAAGCTTGGGTAGATAAATGGCCACATCTGCGCCAACGCACCACTGGTTTAGGTTTGCTGAGATGCCAAATGGGGGTTATGTCTCTCAGGCGAAAGCCACCAATTCAGGGGCGGCTGGTTGACGAACAGCCATCAGCATCTTGGCTTACAGTCAGATAAACCAGCCATTTAGTTTCTCCCCAGATAATGGAAACACAAGAAAGCAGCCTACAACCCACTTGCTTATCTTTTTGGCCTAAGTATATTCTTTACAATTAAGCCATTCATCAAATGTTATTAAAGTTTCGCAGTATTGAACTTGGTAATAAAACTCCAATATCTGCGTCATTAGACATTGAATCTTTGCCTCCTTCATAAAATAAGAAGTGCCCCAAATTCATGTGGCTCATTGATCAGCAGCACACTGGATATATTACCTGCCCTCTGGCTTCTCCAGTCCATCTCAGCAAGCATCACACACACGGCAGCACTCACCTGGTACATGTGGGCAACGTTTGATCCCAGATATTTTGCCCCGTAGAGTTTGCCATCAGGCCACTTGACTTGGACAACTTCTCCCTCAGCAGGAGGGCCCAGCTTCACACAGTCTCGGCTCTGCGCAATAAACAGAGACAGGCTTCTCAAGGCAAGTGTCTAAGTGACTGCATTCAGAACTTAGCAAATGATGAACTCCTGGCAATTAAAAGGAGTTATTACCTCTGTGTTTTACGGATTATGATCTTGCATGGGTGTTCAGGGGAAGAGATATGAGCCAAAGGAGTACTTAAAGATTCAGCCTACATCATAAAGTTGCACAGGAACCACCATCATCCAAGCAGGACAAAACAGCAGCATTTACATTTGCTACTTGACAGAGAGTCATTCAGAGGGTAACTAAAATATGCATAGAAACTGCTTTAAGTGAGGAAGAGACCAGCTAATGATTTATAACACCTGACATCAATACAGCATTTTGCAGTTAACAAAATGCTTGAACATACGTCTCATTTGATCTTCATAATCACTCCATGAAGTAGGCAGACGTTATTAATTATTCCCATTTTACTGAGAAGGAAACTGAGCCCTAGAGAGGCTCCTTTAAGTTGTCAGGATCTCTGGAGGAGTGAAGCTGAATAGAAGAAGAACTGAGGACACCCAGGTGGGACTGGGGCCGGGGGAGAAACAGAGGGAGATGGGAGCTGGTAGGCCTTGACTAAGTGGCAAGGGCAAGAAAAGCAGGGAGCGTCTGCCGCATGGCGGGCGGAGCTGGGAGGGGTGTGTCCTGCTTGGCAGACCTCTTCTGAAGACCCCTGGACCTCCCCCAACAGGCGTGCTTCTGCCAGCATCTCCCAACAAGTGACCAGCCCTCTTCCTTCCACAGGCAATCATGGTGACACCCAGAACCAGTCTTCTCACTTCAGGTCTGCTACTCAACACTGCCTCCTCCTAAGGCAGTAACTCAGAGCAAACTCCCCAGGAGTCCATCCTGGAAGGTGCTTTTTTTTGGGGGGGGGGGAGGGGTCAGGGCTGTACAGGTAAAATAATAAACCGTTTTCACAGATGTAGTTTGTAAACTCTTAAATTTGTACGTATGGAGTATGACACAATAAAACTGTAATACAAATAAATTCAATACTTGACTACTTTGGTAAATTTTTTGCATATTTAGCACTTCATGTTTTGCTAATACTGGTATTTTCCTGATGAAACCAATCTGACTGATTGAAATGCACACTTGACCAATCAAGCTATAAATGCGGGCTGGGCATGGTTCTGTGGTTTCAATGAGAGGCACACACAGGAAATATTTAGTTGTCCCCAACTATTTAGTTGTTTATGAGTAGAAATCTACCATGTGTTACTTTTCATTATTAATAAGAATTCTGCATTAGAAAGGAATGGCCATTTTATTGTTGGGTTCAGAGTACACGTGAAAGGCTCAGCTGTTCATTTTTCTCACTGCAGTCTATGCTTCCATATAGAGCTATGGGCAAAGAAAAAAAGGGTGTGCTCAGAGGCTCTGTAGAATTGACAGTCTGCATTTAACTTAGTCAAATGAAAATAAATTTATTCTTGGCCTTCATAATAGTTGATGTCAGGGCATTGCAGGATGGAGACGGTAGGCTGTAGAAATGTATTCTATATATGCCCCTACGGTTATCACCTCACTTTTCAGTTCCCTTCGAACTGTATCCATGGCACTAAGAACACTGGAAGGGGCAGCTTCTAAACACACTATCCAGCCTCCTACGTTAGGAAGCCACGCCAGCTCTGGGATAGCTCTGGGATTCACTCTTCTAAGAGAACAAGGAGTGATTTCCTCCTTTTATTGTTGAGTTCTGAAGGAGACTGCACTTTCCAAACTGCACCACAGCGCGCTGGGGCACCACAGCAAAACACAGGGGTTCTGTGGGATATTTTCAGGGGACGCATGGCAACACTTGCCAGACACCCTGCTTACGACTGCTATTAAGTTGTTTGGACCTAAGTGACTTAATAGATGGAACCGTTAGGTGTTTCCTTTGGCCAAGGGACACTGTAAAAAAATGTGCTGAGATATTCAGGGGCTGTGAGCCAGGAAAGTCTGGTAACCTCTGACTTACCCCTCACCTGCCCTTTCTCTTTGGAGCCACCTTTGGGCAGAGAACTTGCATTCTGCTCTGCTCCTTCCACAGAGAGGCAGGTGGGGTCCTGCACCCCTGTTTCAAGAAGGCCTGTCTTAAGTCTGAGGTCCAGTATTAGGAAACCTGTCTGCCCACAAATACATGCCACACTCTTGAATATCTGCTTTATTAGTATTAAAGGAGACAGTTTTAATCTCCAGACCCTGAATCCTTTGTCTCTCTACATTGCTTCACCTCGGCGAGATGAGTTCTATTTACTGGGCTCTTCTCCACTCCCAACAGAAGCAAGTCAGGGATTCGGGAAACGCGGAGGCTACACTCCACATTTACTTAGCCACCAAACCCACCGCCAAGCGGGAGAGTTGGGTCCTTAGTTGTACAGATTTGACCTTCAACAGAGGTTTTCTAGCCTTTAAAATAACTGCCTCAAACAAATCCTGACCTGTAATTTTAGGTACGATATCACCAAGGTGTGGCAATAGCCACAGAAATTGGCCTAAGCAAAGTATAATGTATATTTCAGCAGTTTATCACAAAAATAGAGCTTTATTAGTAAACTAAATGTATGTAACTTCAGCAAGTAAGAAACATTCTTTTCAAAAAAGACGTCTGAAAACTCAACGTCTGAGATACAGTTTGATATCTTTCCTACTAATTGTAAGTTAACCCTTTACTCACAACAGATGTTAACTTGGCACTGAAAGTGCCTGGCCTCACAGAGCTCCTTCTGGCTCGGCCTCCTCCAAACTCTGCTCTGCATCAGCCACAGAGATCAGTTCAAACTCTTTCATGTCAAAATCTAGGGAAGACGGTTCAGTTTGCTTTCTCAATCTTCTTGCTTGCAGAATTTTTTCTTTATTCAAAGTAGAAGAATAAAGAAAAATAACCAACCAACTATATAACAACATAGAATTGTTCTGTGAATCTCCTCCCCTCCACACCAGGAGGCATTGTTCTGAGCCATGATGGCTACCTTCTCACCCTTTGCCAGGTTATTTAGCTGCAAGTCGATATATTTTGATTTGCATATAACTTCTTTTGTAACTATTATTAATTATTTATACCCCAGCTACCTTCCAAATGGATTTAAGGCAGTTCATAGTAAAACACAAAGTTTATTTCTGTAACATCTACTTTCCTCCATAGAGAAATGATTTTAATTCATGAGCTGTCTCAAGTGTTGAGTTTGCCAGAAACTTTCTATGACTACATGGAGTATAAAGCATTTAAACAGGAATGGAACTGGGAGCATGTGGGATGATGAAAAACAGCTGAAAGGTTTGATATTTAGATTTCCCTGATCTCTCCAAAGCAGAAGCCTCTGGGTGTCCCCAAGGTTGTCACAATCACTAATCCAATACCTATTTACTGACTACCCGTGTGAGACACTAGAGGAGTCAACAATGTTCAGCTCCTGAGCTAGGGACAGACAGAGGGCATCTTGTTCACACTTGGAAGCCTGTCACTCTGAGCCCCACAGCCATGTCGGGTGCGGGGGCCTCAGGGGTCCTTGCAAGGGCTGAAATCTATGTGGAGTATGAGGGTTTTGGCCACCATGATCACTTCAACCAGAACAGAACTTTAATTTTTAGACTGAGTTTCTGAGTAAGATTTCATGTGAAATAAAAGGTTTCTGTTAAAAATAAAAGGTCTGAAAGAATGAAATAAAATAAAAAGTCTGAAAATGAGGGGATTTCATTTGCGGAAAGCCACAGCTTGAACGGTCTGCCCTCTCTCTTAAAGGTCTTCAGCTGGCTCACATCCCCCAGGCTGTGCACGAGGAATGAGACAGTAGAGCACAGCTTCCCCAAGTGTGGCCCCAACCACTGGGGACACACATTAAAAGATGAAGACTCCAGCCCCCTCTCCCCACAGTTCTATGTGACCTGGGTGATTTTTTTTTAAAGCATTCTAGAATTTAAGATCTATTCTATTAAAGGATGTAAAATGCTAAGGAGGTCTTTCCTGATGTAGGTGTTAGTGTATTGCTGGAGCAAGTAAACACCTTTGCTGGAAAATTCCACACATTAAAAACCTTGACTAGCGTTTTTCTCAGTCGTTGTCTAGACCCTCAGAAGCAGTTTGGCTTCACCTGATATAAACAGCTGTTACCATTTGCTGTACTGCCACCAGAGATGTGTAAACTCCCCTCAAATCTGCTAGAGCCCTGTCCACAGGGGCATTGGTGTCTGGAGCTGCCAGTAAGCCTGGAGCCAGAGCACTAAATAGATGATGTGGAAATTAAAGACAGAAATCACTATCACAGTCAAGAGTGAGCTTTCGGCCATGATTAAAAGACTGAGATGGGTCACCGACCCAGGCAAGAGGACGGTGTCATATCGCATCCCTGCTAAAGTCAGGGCCAAACTCCTGTACTTGCTCCACCAACTAAAGAGAAAAGTCCAACTTCCAGTCTGATTATTTGAATTCTGAAGTCATCTTGTTCTTGGAACTCTTACTAGGACCTTTGAAAGGGACCTCTACAAGTGCTGACCTTAAACGCTGTCTCAGCACCACCACCACACCCCGCCCCCCACCCATCCCTACCTCTGCTCCTGACAAGTACAAACAACAGAACAGGTAGTCCTATCTATAAGTCCAGCTGCACCAGATGAAGACCTGGTACATGAATTCCCAGTAGTTAATTGGTATATAGTTTGGAGCCTCTGACCGTCCCTCTTGGGGAAAATGCTTAAGTGACCAGGAGCAAACTACCACCAGCAGCTGCTGACATTTTGAGGGATAATCACCTGCTTATTACTGGACTCTGGCAGGGATTAAAAGACTGACTGATAACCATGTACTAATCGTACTAGTTATCTGTCATTTGTTTGGCTGCCCAGCATCTGAACCCCCAACTCTCCTTCAGAGTCTCAGTGGGAGGTAAAGCTGGCCTGCCATTATAGATGCTTGAAAATGCTAGATACTCCCCTGCCAGCTTCCAGGGCAGCAGACATGGACAGGAGCCTGGCCAGTTGGTTACACTTGCCC